TAGAACCCTTGTGCAATCTACTATCTCTTAGAGGTGGCAAGCTCGTACCACTTGCTGGGGATAGCGTCCATTGGCAAAGGCATCTGCCTTGCAGTAGACAACACTATAAACCAGAGATACGATCGTACGTGTGGAAGCTTCACGTGCAGAGAGTTCTAGTGGGGAACTGTCACGGTTTTACCTGACAAAGTCATTATAGGAACAAATGCTATTAAGGAGCATATCATTTTTCATCATTTCTCGTCGCACAAAAAGTCACGTGATCTAATGAGATAAGATAACGAGGCATCCAGTCACATGACCTCGGATCTCTCTCGGCATTATCATGTGACACCAAACTCCTCGGCATGGCGTCATATGTTGCAATCGCCATGACGCCATATTGCGTGCTCAAGAGGAGCTCCGTCTCCGTGAGTTATTATTAGGCAGCCAATCAGGATAATTGGGACATGTCGTACAATTGTAGCACTGACCAGTAGGATAGCATGTGACTCGCTTAGGTAGTACTGTACAGTAGCATAGCAATCATGTATATAAGGACCAGCGAGACGAGGAGGGCACCTCAGTCTTATTCTCCTTCATCCTCCACTACCATCACAGAGGGGTCTTACCAGACACTCTCAGTGTGCTATATATCCAGTATCATCCTCACTTGTGATAGCGCCCCTCACCTCACCAGTAAGTCTTACTTTGCGACTAGCGACTCGGCCTCGTCAGTGGGCATGTCGTATCGCCACAGCTCATCGCTGTAGGCTCTCAGCCAGGAAGCCCTCAAGGGGACTCCTTATTTTGGTTGTCTATCTTTGTCATCGACGTGCCATGACATTAGAATAAGACTGACCTTTTATGCCCCTACCAAGTGTCTAACACTGGTAGCCGCGCATTTTCGCCTAGAGATACATCTGCCCAGGGCAGGGCTTTTTCCACACCACTTCCTTCATACCATTCCACTTCGCCTCTACCGCCTAAGCCGCTTCCTTCCTTCAAAAGGAACAGTGCTGCATTGACCGGTAAAGCACCGCAAGTGCACAACGGTATCGTTCCGCCCAACGGACGCTACCATCCTTACCAACGCGACCCCCGCCGCACTCTTTGTCTAACGGCGAGCAACCTACTCTGAGCCAAGCCCGACGACTATTGCTCAGACCTACAGAAGCTTCGCTCTAAGGTCAGCTCGTGGGCCAAAGCAATTCCCAAAGACGCATCTGACCCATCCGTCCCCATTTACAAACCGTTTTGGTGGTCTAATGCTGACGCCACTGCCGTCCTCGCCTTCGCACTCTCTCAGGACTATCATCCACGTGGGATCCACGAAAATCCCAAAGGCACTCTCCCTGAGAACATCGTGCCGACTGTACATGCTACTATTCAGTGGCACAAGGTCTTGCAGCAGCCCCATATTGCTGCCAAGTTCACAGAGGAACAGATCCAGTGTCGCGATCGTATTCAGCGACACCTAGGAGCATTGAACGAGAGGATTGGACGAGGCGATGACTTTACGTTCATCGATAGACACATCGCTATCAAGCTTTGCATAGGACTAGGAAAGATTTCATTCAGAGGGATCAACAAGGAGCAGGAGCGCGTAGGAAGAGACATTGTGAGGTTCGAGAAGGAGTCGTGCTACTGGCCTTACTAGGACCAGTAATATTTTTGTATCCCAAGTCCCATGCCGAGATACGCAATCAGCTTTATATACCAGAACTACATCGTGGACTTTTATCGCCCAGCGCAGGGACAACTCACAGTCATCTGCACTGCATACTTCATATATCAACCTCTCATCACCAACTGGCAGCAAGTACTCTACCACTACACGGTACAAGTACACGCCTACACAACCTACTCGGCACCATTCCGGCTCATTCCTAATCTTGAGGAAGAGCAAGAATATTGGCACCACTGAGCTGAAGCATTACGAGAGGAGTTAGAAGAAGAAGGACTCATCGAGGAAAACCCCGAACCCTTCTAAGATTGAGACCAGAATTCGATCGACTCACACGTTGTCCGTCACCTCATTCCCATTATCTTCAACGTCAATCCCAATGTCTCAATACAACCTTGGAGGTGTTGTGTTCCCAGGAGGACACACTGCAAGCGAACCGTCAGACCCCTGGAGGAGCAATGCCTCCTCTACACAATCTGAAGCAGGACCAGCTGCCCCTGTGGATGAACCTCATACTAGCAGCACACCCAAGGCGTCGGGAGTAGTCAGAAACCCATCACCTACCACCCTGCCAGCATTCTCCACACCTCAGACTTGGGAATGGCAGGGAGTCCCTTATGCAACCATCGAGGAAGCCATCAATGCTGCCGCACCCAACACCATCCCAAACGACGTTAAGAAATGGGTAATGAACGTAGTGCGATCATTCATTATGAGAGACGTTGTAAGCTCGTACGAAGCCTTACGACAAAAAATGAATGAGCGACACGAGCGCACAGTGGCCTCGTTGGAAGATGAGGTAATGGCTTGTATCCATGTCGAAATAATGGCAGTAGAAATACAAGACCAGCTAAAAGTCGAAAGAGCCCAGATCGGCACCCTCTCCGCTGACAACGAACGGCTCATCAAGTCAAACAACAGTCTGACACTCGAAGCCCAAGCAATCTGCAAGGACTTCGAGGATTATAAGGATGAAGTAAAGGGCCAGATGGATGCCCTTTACGGCAACATGGTCACCCTGAAGGAGGCACAGGAAAAGACCACCATCTACATCGTTGGCTTAGAGTCCCGACTCAACAATGCCATCATCAATGCACCTTCACAAGGTATCCAACCGCTGGCCGGCCAATCTAGTCAATCGCCCCGCCGAATTAAGCTCCCCGATCCACCCAAATACTTGGGAAGGAAATCATCGGAAAATTTCGAGACTTGGTTCACGAACCTCCTCATCTGGCTCGATTACAACCACTTCACCGATGACAAGGATGAAATTCGGCAGGCCAACGCACATCTAGAAGGCGGAGCAGCTCTATACATGAAAGAATATGCAATCAAGCTCGCCTCAGGACAAGACGTTGACACATGGGCAGAATACACCAGGAAACTGGAGATGGCATACAAGATGCTTGACCCCAAGCACACAGCACAATCCCTGCTAGATGCACACTGTGCAATTCACCACAAGACCATGATCGCCTTCGCAGAGAATTTCAGGGCTTACGCCCCCGAATCAGGATACTCTGATGAAGATCTAATCGTCAAAATCAGGGAACAACGGTCGACCCACATTCAAATGGTCATATCAGTAACGGAGACTCTGGACCCATCAAAGATTCCAACCACGTGGATGGACTATCTAGAATTCTGCTTGGAGATAGAAATCAAACACCTCCAGCAGATATTGGGTAACAAGTCTACTGGACAGACCACGGAAAACAAGGCGACCACCCCCAAGGACCCTAATGCAATGGACACAAGCGCACGAATCGCACATGAACTATCCCCGGAACAGGACAGGTGGCTGGCAAACAAACTATGTTTGTTTTGCGGAAAACACGCCTATGAACAAGGAAAGTGGTGCCCCTCCCCCAAGCCAGAATACAAGGGCAAGCAGTTTCAGACACGATCCGCCCCTAAGCAAGGGCAAGGAAAAGGGAAGGGCAAAGCGATGAACGTGCGACAGGTGGAAGAAGAAAGTAGCACGGGCTCATCAGCTCAAATTGCGGCACTGGAACAAGCAATTGCTGCACTTTGCGGGATGAGCACAATGTCGACTACACCACCATCCAGCAAGGGCAAAGGCAAGGTGCAGAGCGTGGACACAGCATCAAAGGCATCGGCATCTACAGTCAAGGACACCAATGCGAGAATCGTCGAGATAGACGATTTCTCAGAGGATTTTCAGTACGAGGTGTAGATGAGTCTGGTGTCACACTTCAGGACAATTGTATTAGTACTGTGAGAATGAATGTACCTAGCAATCATCTATATATTGCATCTGCGGGTTTTTCTAAACATTCGATCAAATTGCTGATAAGATTCGTATCATGAGAAATCCAGACGACGGCACTATTGGATTCTGGAGCATTCTCTTGCTATATCGACCAAAGATTCGCTGAGAAGCACGGGTTTAAGATGATACCTCTAAACCATGAAATCTGAATCCTCAACGCAGACGCCAGCCCCAACAAGGGTGGCACAATTACTCATCGTGTAGTCACAAGCATCTTAATCGGGGGGCACCGATTAACCGAGAGTTTGCTCATCACAAATCTTGGACGCATGTCGATGATCCTCGGCATGAAGTTCTTACAAGAACATAACCTCCGAGTTGACTGGGAACATAGAGAGGTCACGTTCTCAAGATGCAGACACACGAGGAAGCAACGAGTCAAAGTATGTGAAGAAGAAGTCAACCTTCTATCGCAACCTCGGCTCGAAGATGAAGCAATTCTCCCCGACATACACATGGATGACGAGTGGGATCAGGAAGATAACTTCATCAACTGGATAGACTTGCAAGACCAGGATCTTCGTAACATGGTGCACGACATCCTAGGCATAAGCAAGAAGGTAAAGGAGCATTTGGTAGAACAGCCGGCAGAAGAGACACAGGATAAAGAATATTGGTCCAAGTTCATCCCTCCAGAATTTCATCAATTTGGAGATGTGTTCTCAAAGAAAAGCTCAGAAAGAATGCCGACGTGTAAGCCCTACGATCATGCAATTGATCTTGTCCCAGATGCGGCAATCCCGAGACTGGCAAAAGTATACTCTATGTCTTTACGAGAGAAGAACTCGCTCGATGAATGGATTGATGGTGAACAAGCCAAAGGCTACATTCGACCGTCTAAATCCCCTTACGCCGCTCCGGTATTTTTCGTCAAGAAAAAAGATGGCTCTCTTAGACTTGTCCAAGACTACAGGGCATTAAACAGTGTCACCAAGAAGAACAAGTTCCCACTCCCACGAATAAATGATCTCATTGACGGACTCTCCAGGGCTAGCATATTTACCATACTAGACCTGAGATGGGGTTACAACAATGTACGCCTTCGCAAAGGAGATGAGGAAAAGGCAGCGTTCATTACCTATAGAGGATTATTTGAACCCACTGTCATGTACTTCGGATTCTGCAATGCCCCGAGCACTTTCCAGGCCATGATGAACGACGTTTTAGGCGATCTCATTCGCACTGGAAAGGTGGCAGTTTATATAGATGACATCATCATCTTTACGGATAACCAGGAGGAACATGACCGTCTGACCAAAGAAGTCCTACAACGGCTCAGAGACAATGACCTGTTCATGAAACCAGAAAAGTGTCACTTCGCAACCACTTTCGTCAAGTTTCTCGGACTCATAATCTCAAAAGGGTCGATACAGATGGACTCAGAAAAGGTCGACAGCATGCTCAAATGGCCGGTGCCCACCAAGGTAAAGCAGGTGCAAGCATTTCTTGGTCTGGCAAATTTCTATTGACGATTCATCAAGGATTTCGGATCGATGACCCGACCCTTGACTCTATTAACCTGTAAGGACGCAACATGGAAATGGGAAAAACCTCAACAAAAGGCATTTGAGGCCCTCAAGACTGCCTTCACTTCTGCCCCAATTTTAGCGCTCCCCAACGCAGTCCATCCCTTTAAATTGGAAACGGATGCCTCGGACTTTGCCACAGGCGCGGTCCTTGAACAGTTGGGAGAAGACGAACTCTGGCATCCAGTCGCATATTACTCAAAATCGCTCAATGAACATGAGCGAAATTATGAGATCTACGACAAAGAGATGCTAGCCATCATTCAGGCTTTAGAAGAATATCGGCAGTACTTCGAAGGACACCCTCACCCGGTTGAGATATGGTCGGATCACCTAAATCTTACCTATTTCTGACAAGCTCAGACATTGACCAGGCGACAAGCTCGATGGTCACTCTACCTTACACATTTCAATTTCATACTCCGTCACCGCCCCCGGAAAGATGATGATGCATGCCGATCCTCTGTCCAGGAGGCCAGATCATGAGAAGGGGGTGAGCAATGACAATTCAGGGCAAACTTTGCTTTGACCTGAATATTTTGCCATCCACGCGATCTCAGCCACTCATTCCTCCGAAGTTGATGATGCAAAACTTCTTGAAAGAGTGAAATCGGCACTACTAGATGATGAAATGACCAAAGGTTACCAGCACCTACTAAAAACTGGCAAGCGAGAGTTCGGAAAAGACCTCTAAGAGTGGAACTTCGAGCATGGATTGCTGCTCAGAAGAGGAAAAGTCTACATTCCAAAAGACTCAGCGCTGCAGAATGAGCTAATCCAGCTGCACCACAACATCTCCATGGCTGGACATCCCAGACAATGGAAGATGCAAGAGCTGATTAGCAGGAATTACTGGTGGCCAGGGCTTACCATTGATGTAAAAAAGTACGTCCAAGGCTGTGTAACTTGTCAAAGAAACAAGACGAGCAAGCAAAAGCCTTATGGACTGTTACAACCTAATCCAGTACCAGAAGGACCTTGGAAAATGGTTACATGGGACCTGATTACGCAGTTACCGCCAAGCCCAGACCATAGGGGAGAAAAGAAGACCGCCATTCTGGTAGTCGTCGACAGGTTCACCAAACATGCACACTTCTACCCAGTAGACAACATGGTGACAGCATCTCAAGTAGCATCAATTTTCTACACTGAAG